AAGTTTCAGCGGGCAGCCGCTGTACAAGTGAATGGGGGCGGACGGGCTGTGGCAGGGATCAGCAGAGGCAGAGACGTGTAGGGGAGAGGTGGGGGGTGGTGGGGGCGGGTGGTGGTGGGAGGGAGGAGGGAGGGGCGGCGGCGCCGGCACCCTGCTGTGCTGCTGAGCGGGGGGGGCCTGGCGGAGGCAAGCCAGGCGGGTGCAGGGCCTCTCTGCCCGGCCTGGCTCGGCAGCACCGCAGCTCCGCACCCTCGCCTCCCTCCACGCACCCCTCCCCTCCCCTCCCCTGCCCCGCCTTTGGCAGGACGCCGCACGACCGCTTTTTCCAGCTGATCTGGCGCCCGCGCCCGCCCAGCCAGCTGCCCGAGGAGCGGCAGCGCGAGATTGTGAAGAACCTGCGCAAGTACAGCAAGCGGTACGAGGAGGAGGACGAGGCGCTGCTGGCGCAGGTGGGGCGACGCGCTCTGCCGCGCTGTGCTGTGCGATGCTGTGCGGGACGCAGTGGGTGGTGCTGGTCCGGTGCTGCTGCTGCTGCGGCGGCGGTGGTGGTGGTGCTGCTGCGGTGGCGGTGGTGCTGGTGCTGCCCTTGCCTGCTGCGACACTCCTGCAGCAATACAATACTCCCTGCGAAGTGGTTGAAGCTACGTCGGAGCACCGTGGAGCCGGCCCGCTGCCCTGCCCACACCTCCCCCACGCCTCCTGCCGCCGCTGTGCCCATTCTCCCAGCCCACCCCGTCCCTCCCGCCCCCCTCCCCTCTGCTCCCTCTGCCCCGCAGGCCGACACCGAGTTTGTGGGGGAGCGCGAGCGCCAGCTGACCGAGTGGCGCTCCTGGCTGGCCAGCAAGCAGGCGTATGCGCAGGAGCGGGAGCAGTTTGCGCGGGCGCAGCTGGGGGAGAGGTGCGGGCCTTCGCCAAACAAAGAAATTCGCCTCTGCACACGCCGCCTACGTTCGGGCGCTGCTCCCATCCCGTCCCCGAGGCCGCCGCCGGCAACCTCGCGCTCGGACTCGTGGGCTGTGCTACCCCCCGCGGACCTGCCTCGCCCGCTGGCCTGCCTGCCCCGCGCCCCATCGCCGACACGCGCCGCCACGCGCCCGCGCGCCTCCCCCCGCGCGCCTCGCCTGTGCCGTGCAGGGCTGCGGCGCACGACCGCTTCACGGTCAAGGCTGTTGAGGTGAGCGTGGTGCTGGATGTGAAGGAGGAGAAGATGGCGGCGTGAGGCGGCGGCGGCAGGCGGGCTGGGCGATGGACACCTCGGATGGACACTAGATGGCTGCCGCCGAGGGAGGGACGCTACATGCGCAGCACGCACAGCATGCGGAGCAGCACAAGCAGCGGCGCCCGCTCCGCTGCCGGCCCCTGCGTTGCTTGGCTCTATCTCGGTGCTTGGTCAACGAGCGTGATTAAAACACACAAGCGAGCATTGCAGCGAAAGCACGCAGGCTGCGGGCCGGGGGTGTTCAGCGCCTCGGCGCCGCCAGCTGCTGCAGCGGCGCCAGGCTGGCGCGCGCGCCCGCTGC